CAAGCAAAAAAATTCGTACAAAAATACAGATTTGGTGTGCAAAGGTCTTTACTCAGAAGATATGTTTTGCGGTGCGATTAATCAACAATCACCATTACACTGCAGATTTTAATGCTCTCTCAAAAAGTAATTTACTTTACAGGACCACACTGATGGATACTGGAAATAAAACCTTCTACTGAAGAACAATCTCTTAAATGACAGGGTCATCTTGCCTTTAAGAGTCAGTGCTCACATTTTTTACTAACCAAAAAGTTGTTACTCAGTGTGAACTTTGCTCCAATGGTTTTATTAAAACATATTATCCCAGGGTTGGTGAATGCCAAGAAGCGTCTGTGTTTTGGGAAGTGTTATGCAATGGTACGTCTAATTTTTTAAGTGGGTAGATAGTTTAGCATAAATTTGTTTCCAATATCTTTTTATCTATTTATCTGTCTTTGAGATTTCTGCCTCCACCACAATACAATAAAGCTAAAAGGAATTAATAGTTAAAATGTCTGATGTTCATATTACATGAGCCAAAGTTTAAAATAATGAGGTAACTGTATGTAATAGTAATCCCTGTGAGCAAAAACTGTGCAGAGATGCTGAGATTCGTGAGACCTTGTAACACTGACCAGTCAGAGCGGACGAGTTTTTCGGGAGGGGACAGTCACTAAAACAGATCATTTCAGACAGAGGGTGAACACAGGTGGTCCAGCACAGACAGCATGAGGAAAATAAAGTGTTATTAAATTAAAGCAGAAGCCCAAAATACAAAATATGAACCTAAAAATGAGCATAATAGGTCCCCTTTAAAAATAACATCTAAAACACAACACAACAGCGTCAGAGAAACAGTGTCCACATTATTCTGGATAATTCTGACATCACCGTGGACAATCTGCCAAAGGACTTGTTTCATAGAAAACTCTTCACAGCATGGTCTGTGGTTTTCCAGAGTAACTTGAAACTGCTGACTTATTAATGTGTCATTTCTCAATGCTATGACAACCAGCAACAAAATTCCTTTCACCTCAGTGGTGTTGGGATGGTAGCAGAGACGTCAGTGACAGATAAATCAAAACCTGGACGGCTAAATCTATCAGCGTGAAAAGATACCAGCAGAAGTGAGATAATCTGTTTTTTGACATTTGGATGACCTGAATCTTTGTGTTTGTGTGCGTGCTGTGGGCCCTGTGTTTGGGCATGTACGCTGCACACTACATAATTTGAGTGTGCTGCATATGTGTGTATCTGCTGCAGTGGCCTGTAATTATCACAATATTCTGACTGGATGTCTCAGCTTCACTTCACCCTCCACTGAGAGCCGGATGTGGGGATGTTGTTGTTTCACTGAGGGGCTAATATCCACTGGGGCAGCCTGACCGGCCAAATGACTTCCTCCTGGTTTGATAGAGGAGTAATTATTTCCTCAGAAGCCCCTCCCTCCTCCACTCCCTTCCTCCTTTACCCCCCTAACACAGACGAAATCCCCACAACATCAAATTACTCTAACAGCTTTTTTCCTCATGCAGCATGTCTCCGTCTTTGGAAACAGATAAGTCAGCTATGATGCAGGGTTACAAGGGGACAGCACAGGACTAGCACCAATCAACAGCTTGATAAATGTTAGCCTCCGTGCTACCCACCCACTCCCCACTCACTCCCTAAGGGGTCGGGAGAACATGTTTCTTCCTGTCCTGAGACATTGTCGGGAGGTTACTGGTGACAGTGCGACTGGCGCCAAGTGCAAACACACACAGACACAGTCAGCCAACACGGATACACACACTGGCGGGGGGTTTGTTGTGCTTTGTGGTTTTGTTTTTTTGCAAGCAGCACAGCGAGGCACATGTGCTGTGTAGCTCATGCATGGTTACAGTTGACTCATGTACTTATCAAAGCACTTATTAGAATCCAACTGCTCTGCGCACTGTCTGCGGCTCCACTGAAATTAATTCATCTGCAATTTATTTTAAACAAAGCCCCATGCTCATCATTTTTTTTAATAAAGACTCATAAAAAAGGCCCTTCCGGCAGTACCCAGGTACCTCAGCAGTTCACGGTGCATATTCCACATTTACGACCTTTTGGAGCATCACATCCTCCGTCTCCTTCTGTCTTTATAATTCTCCACTGTGTGCTTTGTCATAATGCGGAAATGCCAAAAAACGTTTTTAAATTAAAAAATGTATTTCATCCTGCCAGCGTTTGACAAAATGACAAACACGCCCTAATATCTGCAGTACAGTACCAACACTATTATAGGACAATATTCAGTGTGTTTTTATGGCGATGTGCGAGCGCTGCACACAATAATAAACTTTCCCTCACATACAAGTGCAATAAATGGAACCAATAAGTTCCCTCTGATCCTCCACAAAAACTACTCAGTATGCATAATCTTAATGAATAAAAATACAGTGTGAAAAGTGGATTTTTGTTCTGAAATCGTAGAGAATCATCATCATTTAATCATCAGTGGAGAGAGGAGTGTTCAGATCCTCATTTAAAGCTGCAGTAATCAATATTTTTACTTTAATGACGGATAAAAATTCCATGTAACGTGACAGGGTGATGAACCCCCAGAGAATTATTACCCGAATGAGCTCTACAGAGAATTTCCGCCTCTCCTTGCTAAAAATGTACTATTTTTGTGTACACTCACCACATTTATTGTATTTATTTTTTTATACTTTTTGTTTTTTACATTTTTTATGTTCACCAAGTACAGGAACAAAAGCAAGGAAAAGAAAAAAGATAAGCAGTACACGGGGAAAAAAAGACAAGTATAAGGTTATGGGATGTTTACAAAGACATGACAAATCCTAATAATTTAAAGTAAGGTGTCATATGTGGTACGTACAATAATCATGTGGAATCTGTCTCATTTGCTAAATAAACACACCATTTTCTCCAACATTTTTTGCCCAGTTCTTTTTGAAGTCGTACAGAGTAGGTAGCTAGTCAAAGGCAGCAACTTGCTAACTATTAGCAGCTAAAGACAGGATATTAGGGCAGGTGATGTCTACCAAATTGCAATAGGACTATGTCCACAGTGAAAGTGAAACATTGTTATGGACGATCATATCGTTGTTGAAGGTGGGGGTGGGTGCCTTATGGGCTACAGTTTTTCATATACTCTCTTTTATACTTTTTACACATATGTATGTTGGATAATAATAACTGTTTATTATTTTTTTTTACATTTGAGCCCATTCATAGTCAATCCTCACCTTTTCACTAAGCATTTCCTTATTTTTCTTTCCAATGCCTTAAAGAAACCTCATTATCATTATATATATTATATTTTAAATACAAGTCAGTGATGTTACTGTGAAATATACCTGCGAACTGAAAAAAAAAAAAAGCTGTCAGCCCAGGAGATGTGAGCTGATATTGAGCAGTGATGGTGGCAAAGAATCACAATGTAGGTGACAAACTTAAAAGCTAAAAAAAAAGAGGTACCTATTCATCCATCTGGCAATAAGTAAGTGTCTGACACTCCTTAAAATACATATTCATCAGCTCTAAAATGCTTAATATTTATACCCTGGTGTCCACCTTCAATTGCACTCGCAAAAACAACTGGAGCACCGTTGATAAATTAAAATCGTTACCTTTAAGTCACAATGTTGGGGTCAGTGGTCAATGACTGTCAGCCATCGCCAATGGAATATGGCATCATCCATCAGCCCAACTCTACAGGATATTTCATTCAAGTTAGCTGAGACTTGAGGTGCCAAAGTAGTTCACCTGATTGGGCATGTGCATCATATGTCTAGGCTGAGTCGTTACCGCAGCTGCCTGGGCTCTTTGCTACATATCAACCCCTTTCCCCTGCATTTCTTGTCTCTTTCCAAGCTATTACTATCTGTGATAAGCAGAAATGCCGAAAAACTAAAACATCTTTTAAACAAAGAGTTACAACAGAGCTAAAAGGACAGTAAATGTTGGACTTGCAATAGTCAGGTCGTCTGAAGCATAACTCCAAAAGAATGCTTTTTCTGCTCTGTGTCTGTGTTCACACAACACGTGAACAATGTGTATGTAGACATAGAAGATTCAGCACTAGAATGTAACGACAGTTTCAAACCTGGCAACATAAACATTTTGAATGGGTCCCTTTTATTTCCTGCTGGAATGTTTTGCAGTGAATGACATCAGCTGACAGCCAGTAAACACAGACCCAAGCTGTTGCCTAGTAATGTAAATCCAGTGAAACGGCCTATAGCTGTGAAATAAATGTAGTGACATAAATAGTACCTCTGAAATGTAAGTTGCAGTGACGTTCAGCAAAGAAATACTCAAGTAAAGTACAAGTATCTGAGAGCTGTGCTCAAGCACAGTGCTTGAGGGGATGTACTGAGTGACTTTCACCGCTGGTTATAATAACATTACCTATCAAAGCAGCTGATATTAGCATTTTAATCATATTTGCTGAGCTCTACCCTGTCTGTTTTATTAAAACGTCGGCATCTGAGCTCGTTGTATATTCTGTTTGACTCGCTGCCTTTGATGCCTGAGATCAAGCATCACATCAATGGAAAGAGTCGACCCTCTCTACCTTGTGACCGGAGTGGGGGAAAATAATGGAGTTCCCCTTTAAATCCCATCTTTCATGTCTCATGACGATGTGCAAGGAGTGGCTCTGGTTTCAGTGACCCACTCCGCTTAACACTCCCACATTTACTCCTAAAAGGCTAATTTGTTTCCTGTTTTGCGTCGGCATTTGATGTCAACTAGCAGAAACGTGACTAATTAGCTGGTTAGTTCGACATTGAGCTCAATGGAGGTTTTTTCTATGTGAGGTTTGAGGGCATGAAGAGGGCACTGGAGGAGTAACACCCTGTGATATTCCTGACATATGTTTAGGAATATCTCTGCGCCTGTTTAAACAAAGTGTCATAACATTTACTGAAGCTTTCTTTATGGCACGGCACAACGTACACTTTTTGGTCACTGTAGGGCTGTGTGTGTATATGTGTGTGTGTGTATATGTGTGTGTTGTTACTCACACATACTTCAGCAGAACTGCCTGGACTTCCATCCCTGAGGAGTTCCATCTGCAGGTGGGAGCCAGCGAATCTAAACACATGTAATCACAGATACATTAACACACACGCACACATACACACATAAAAATTATATCACAAATTATATTTCTGCAAACTTTAATGTAATACGCAATTTACAGAGTACTTTTGCTGTACTAAAGGTTTGCTTTTTAAATCTCGCTATTTCAAGGAATAAAGACATTTAAAGGAATAATTTCAGATTTTGAGAAATATGCTTTTTTGCTTTTGCTGAGAGTTACATCTGCATAGCAAATATATAGACCAAATCACAATGCTTGCTTGCAATGACTTGCAGGTAGAAAACCTGTGTCATGTCAGCTATTTAAAATGAAACAATACTGCCTCAATTTATTACATTTTTGCCACACAAAAAATGGCCTTACACCCACAAAAATCAACATCCATATGAGTGTACACTATTTAGAATATTTTCACGACTTAACCTTGCCATCAGACAGCCCTGAAGCCTCACTAAAGGCAACATCTCAAAGCCACTAGGCTCCATTGACGAAAACAGACATTTTAATGTGCAGTACAAGGGAGATGACTGTCTGCAGCTGCCTCCATCACTTAATGTGTGAGGTAAAGCAAAGAAAATATTCCAAATATGCTGTATATTTAAACTAATATTGATTTCTTTGGTGGCTAAAATATGTTTTACTGCAGCCCGTCCACAGAGGGATGTTAATTTTGTTAACGAAAACTATGACAAAAATTTTTCATCGACCTTTTTTCCATGACCATAATAATCTATGCTTCATTTTTGTTGGCAAGACGAGACTTGTCAAAAATGTAAATAGTGGACTATTGGACATTGAATTATCGTCTTATAATTATCTTCAAATGCCACTAGCAAACTCCAGTAAATAGTCTGTGCCAGGATGGTTTTCTAGCCAGCAAAAATACTCACACCAGAGCAGCGTCAGCCATTGTTGCAAATTATGAGCTGTTTAATTCAGCAGAAAATAATCAGCTGTGTGTCTGACTAAAACACAGACTAAAATGTGACTAGCAACTAATAAGTAATTAATAAGCATTTTCGTCTCAAGACTAAGATTAAATCTAAATAAACTGTCAAAATTAACACTGGCAGAAATGTCAGATAGGTTTGACAACCATGTTTAACTAGTCTATACATCTTTAAATGTTACAGTTACATATCTCCGCTATTCAAATCAATTAACAGTTGTCTACCTGGAAGTGACTGTTGTTCTTGTTAGCATGACTTCACAATGATTCTGTGTATAGCCAGTGGCGGTTAGCTTAGCTTAGCAAAAGACTGGAAACAATCTTCCTTGATGATGCCAGGCAAACAGCAAAAATTCAAAGATGTCTGGATCTGTCCAAGGCTAACTAAATCCACCCACCACCACCTCTGAATATCACTAATTAATATTATACATTGTATTTCATTTGATTACTCAAAAGTACGACAACAATTGTGGTTTTCACAGGGTGGTTATGTAGCATAACATTTCCGGGAGCTTCTGCTGTGGCAACCTCAAGGAGGGTTAACTGTTTGCCCTCTTTTCAGTCTTTATGCTAAGCTAAGCTAACGGCTGCTAGCTGTGGCTGCATATTTACTACACAGACATGAGAGTTCTTTGAATGTTCTCATCCAACTCCAGGCAAGAGAACAAATTAGCATATTTGCCAATAATATCCCTTTAACTCAAAAAGATTTTAGTTATTCTTTCTCATTCAGTAGATTTTCGCCATTGGCTTGTCTTTGCACAAGACATTTACAACAGAGAGGCGTATTGTTTTTATGAGATTTATTGCTTTGCTAACTGTCCAGCTGCTAAAATTAACTAGCAATCCAATAACATGACTGTACTCTCACTAGAAGAGATGACAGCAGCTGATTAACCAGGGAGCCAGAAAGCTGAGCTCATGTTAACATAAATTAGATTTGATCATTTAGCCTCGTGTGAGTGTGTGCCGTAAGATGTGGTAATATACATATTTTTATGTCTCACATCAGCATCTACTCAAGGTCAGAAGGGGCTGTGAGATGCTAACATTACGCACAACCCCCTACTGAAATCACAAAGCCAGATTCTCTTTGTGTGTGTCAGCGTGTGCTCACATACCCGACGCACATGTAAAAATGCCAGCTCGGCAGATTCATCTCGCGCTCATCTCAAATTCTGACATCATCTCAGCTTCAGCTTTAGTGTCTTCGCTAGGGGCCTTTAAACTGAAATAACCTTAGCATCTGCATTATATATGGTAATATAGTCTATGGATTCTCTAGCTGAGATAAAAGTCATTAATAACCCAGAAACTGTAACAATTTGAGCTTAAAATACAGCAAAGTACTGAGAAATCATTGCAAGCTTCAAAAAACATCCACAAAAATCAGAACCAGTACGTCTTATACTGAGATCCGCACCGAACAGGCTCCATGAGAAGAATTTCATGAGATCAATAATGAACTCTGATGTGAACTCGCAGTGGAGCTGGGCAGATTAGAAGGCCTCAATAAACTGGATCATGGTTGGTTGAAAAAGGGGGATTTCAGTAATGAAGTAGGTGATGGTCAAATGATGATGCAAACCTTTCAAGCCGCTGAAGCTTTTAGTTGTGCAGATAGTGCTACTAATTGAGATAAATAAAGTGGCATGGTATGAGAGAGGGTCGGAAAGCTAGTGACTGGTTGCTATCAGCATAAACTGGTCATTCAACTTGTACTGTCTGAGCATGTGCTATTCTGAATTAAAGGAATAGCTCTTTTCTCAAGGGACATTTTGTCTTTCCTTTAAGAGCACTTCACTTTAAGGTAGACTTTACCCACAAAATGGTGACTCATCAATTACTCAGCACGTGTTACGCTGAATTTGTGAAGAAATCTGCTCACATGCCTTCACAGTGAACGAAATACTGAGAAAATTCTTCCTGAATTGGAGTAAAAATAAAAATGATGTCAAAACATTGACATTTGAATTCTGCTTAACCGAATGCATGAGCAGAATTCAAACTCACTCGCTTGTCCAAGCATGTGTTTTAGATAGTAAAGTTTGAGTGAATATGCATGTGTTTGGGGGAATACAGACCTTATGACTTGATAAATGAGAGTTTGTAAACAGATGTTTTTCTATTTTTCTGCTGTTGTTTAACATGGACCCCATTTACTCCAATTACTCAAAGATTTTTCTCTGTTTTTGGATTCTTTGTTCACAGTGGATATATGCCAGGAAGACAAAGTTTTCTTCACAAATTCAACATAAAACAGGGTGACTAACAGGATGTACAAATCATCATTTTGTGGGTGAAGTCTTCCTTTAAAAGTCAGTAAAACCCATGGATGCCTTCCTTGGTGAACAGCAAGATTAATTTAGTTTAGTTCGATTCCTGGAAGTCTATGGGATCAGGTAGCAGTTCCTCTCAAGAGAAGTGTATAACAGCATTACACATCTGCAAAGATGGACTGCGAATAAAATATTCATACAGTCAATTATTTCACTATCGATAAACAAATCTGACATATTAAATTCCTGATCCATTTCCTGCTTTTATGGAGCAGATGAACACAACTATCCGTATTTCAGAAACGGCAGGTTTAAGCTATAATGTAATAATAAGATAATATTTTTAATATAATAATATTTTGGAAAAGAGATTTATTTGAGCTGCTACTTGATACCATAGACATCACTGAAATGAGCCGAGGATTCAACAGAACTTCAAACTGCAAGTATGAAATTGCCTAACTGTAAGAAAAATAGGAGGACCCCTTTGATTAGGGACGTAGGGATAAGAGCTGATCAGTAAATCTGTAAATCTACAAATGACAGAGACCGGGTGGTGTGAGCTCTGAGGTGCATCTGTGGCACGGAGCAGAGAGTGATTTCAGGGCTGATGGCAGCAGCTGTTTGTGCGGTGGGCTCGGGAAGAGGTGAAGGGCAGTGGTCGAGGTGGTGGTGGTGATGGTGGTGATGGTGGTGGTGTTAATGGTGGGGGGAGGAGGGGTGGGTTTGCAGGTTACCTGAGCGTGGAGCGAGGAGGGGTAGGTGAAAGCGGGTGGGAGGGCCGGCGACAGCTCCGCCGGGTACAGTGGGTATGACGCCCACACATCTGGGCTGCTGGGATATAGAGCAGGCACTGTGAGCTCATCTGTGGAAAGAAGAAGAGGAGGAGTGGAGTGAGGAGAGTGGCCAGTGGATGGGTGGGTGGCTACAGAGACAGGGTGGAGGTGGCAGTGGTGTGGGTGGTCGTGGAGGTGCACTAAAGGTGAATTATCTGAAGTAGCTTCCTCTCGTTTATTTGTTTAAACCAACTGACCGTTTGCTAAACCCTCAAACAGGGATTGTCCAATCGTTGCTTAGCAACCTTAACTAGGCATGACAGGCCTGTCAAGCCTTTGATTTCTCAACATGCCAAAGCAGAGTGCATTGGGCTGTAGTAAGAGCGATAAAACTTGGCAGATTGTTATCGGGTTTGGAGGATGGTGTATTTTCTTTTTTAACATTTCCAAAACCGAAAACACAAAGGTGAAATTTTTTATCTGCTCAAATCAAGGTACAGTTGTTTGCATGTCAATCTGCTAGCTAATGACCTGCACTAATAACCATGCTTTTAGAGTTTAGGCATTCCTGGCAGCTCTGTACTGCTTTTTATTGGATATGTGTAAGACTACACTCCAGCAACCCCAGCCAATAACACCAGAGACAACCTTCTGTTTGTCAAACATCCAAACATATCGGTTATTCCTCATCCTAAAAGCATTTTCTCTTGTCACTTTAAGTGAAAACATACAGTTTGAAATATGAAAAAGTCTGTAATCTCAGCAGCTAAACAGCTTTATGGTAGAACTAAATAACCTGGTTTTCCTATCATACTTAAAATATTGTGACGGTCTAGCTCTATGCTGCAATACAAGAACACCACCATTCCTAAAGGAATATTTCACCTGCAAAATGCCTACTTGTATATCAATTACACACTGATTGTATCTTGAATCTGTTAAGAAAACTTGTTTTTCTTGCATGCCTCCACAGTGAACGGAGAATCCAAAAAAAAAAAAACCATTCCCCATGAATTGAAGTAAACAGTAACCACATTTAACGACAACAAAACTATACCAAAACATCCGTTTACAAACTCTCACAAAACTGGTGCAGTATAATCCAAATCTCATGTATCCAGTCACATGCAGTACTTCACAAATACATGCATTTTTGCTAAAACATTACGATTTAAAACACATCAGTACAAACAGTCTCAAATGCTTGATAAATGAGACTTGAATTATACTGCACGAGCTGTGTGAGTGTTTGAAAATGGATGTTTTGACATAGTTTTGCTTTGATAAACATGAGCCCAAGTGACTTGGGTTCATTAAGAAGGTTTGCGTTTTTTGGATTCTCCGTTCACCGTGGAAGCATGCGAGAAAAATCAAGTTTTCTTGACAAATTTACCTTAACTACATGAGTAATCTATATAAAAATGGTCATTTTGTGGGTTAAGTATTCTTTTAATTTAGCCTTCTACACTGATGTCTTCTAATTGGCGTATGAACTGATGAGGATGCTGACTATTTTGCTTGAGACATGTAACTACAACCTCAGCATTTACTGAGCCCAGTGTCTTGTAGGAAGATAGTATGTAGCATCAAGTCCTTTTACCCCATTCTTTAAGTCAGCCAGAGATGGCATTTTCAAACAACTACTGTTAGCTTGATTGGCTAGTTAGCTACGAGGGATGAGTTTAGACCGGACGTGGGTGGGGTTTAAATTTAAAGTGGGTGGGATCTAATCAGAAGTTATTTTAAGCCTGAAATTGATTTGGGTAGATCAGGAGATGCTATATTTATTATTAAACTATATATATTCAGCAATCTCAGAATTGAGATTCAGGTAATTTTTGATCAAAAGAGATTGAACACAGGTACCCATGTGAGGCTTGCCCTTCATCAGGAATACAGACATTGACACATTTTACTGATGTAGTACTCATATACATTATCTGTACTGGATACTTGTTTAATCTGAGTATTTGGCTCAACGCTATTAGCCACAGTTTTTCCAGTTGTTATTTGAAAAAGTAAAAGATTAAAAATAAAAAGCCTACATTTGTGTATGTCTGTCTGAAATCAAGGACACATTGCTTCAAAAACAGTTTCCAGTGGTTAATCTGTCCCTGTTATTATTGTAAACTGCATACGTCCCGTGTGAGAATGGAAAGCTTAACAGGCGTAGTAACACTCACTAAGGGGGCTGGGATTACCAGGCAGTCAATTATACTCCCCTAAAATCAGTAAAGCTGACTTAATTCAGGAAAAAATGAGAGGAAACCATCCCAGATATGATGATTTACTCACTGGTTCGAATATAAAGTGACTGAGGAAAAAACAGAGCGTAGTGCTGAGTGAAGAGATAGGTGACAGTGCAGAGTGGTACAGAGTAGGTGTACATTTAAAATGCTCAATCAGAACAAACAGCAGCTCAATGGAGAACAATCACATAGCCGTACAGTCTTAAGGAGGATTTTTCCTTGCGCTCTCAGGGAGTGTTAATCATGGCATGATCAGAAAAACTGGCTGATTTAAACATCTCTTATCAGGAAATGACAGCAATTTCTCTCCTGGTGATTACGTCATGGTTTCATTAATCGTTTCCTTCCATTTTCCACCCTGAGTACACACCCTTTCTCTGGCGAAAAGAAGATCCAAGATAAGAGTGGTTTGGTCATTTAGGAGGAATGTACAACCACAGCTGGCCTATGTTCAACTATCAATGGCTGATTCTTGCAGAATCCTTAACGCCTGAGAAAAATATTAAACTTAATGGAAAAAGAGAGTGCAGAGCTGCATTAGCAGATTTCATACATGCCTAATACCCAAAGGCCTTGAGTCCAAATAATCAGAGCAATGGGTAACATAGGACATGAACTGTTTATGAATCATTAATCTAACAAAGGGCATGTGTCGTTTAAGGGGAGAACTCCAGTCAAGTTAACCTAACATGGCGAAGAATCTGACTACAAAGAAACATTTAGCACGAAGAGTTAAGGAAGTTATAACTCTGGTTACATATTACTAAGAGAAATGCCATCTGTTTCCACATGACGACAATGTTTCAATGAGACTTTCAAGTGATTAGCAGCCAAGTCAGTCTCCATTTATCAAAACTTGTATAGCCACAGCTGAAGCACAAACACTCCTCCACTAGTGACAAATAATCCTGAAGGGAAACAGCTGTCCAGTCACCTCGTATGAGAGCAACTAATGGCCAAAGGAAGCAGCAACACACAAAAACTGAGACGACAAATGGTCGGAGTACTCACATGGGTCTCTGCTAATAAACTGTGGCCCCGGGCTCTGCTGGGAGGGAGGTGGGTTGGGGGTGCCAACCAGCTTGTTCTTGGCCATCTTGGTGTTGGCCTTGGCGAACTCCAGCCGCAGGGTCTGGGGGATCTCTGGATCAAACCGGACGCCCTGAGATCAAACGGAAAGATGTGTCAGCAAAAATGTGTCTTAGCAAGCTTTTATCCATGCTCTTTGAAAACTCGGACAGTCGGACTGATTGATCAGAGAGCTCAAATATCGTAAGAACTCACTCAGCATTGTATTGTTTTCTATATTTAATCTTTTTTATTATTATATAATGTATGTTGTTGACTATAATTAATATTTTGACACAGTTAAAAGGGTAATTTTAGTAGTGAGCTGGAATAAAAGTCTTGGTTGTAAAGATGTGTGTCATCGCTAAACAATCGAAGTCTTTAACTATTGTATAACTGTGTTATGTCAGCAGCAGATATCCAGGATTTTAATGTATTCTTTGAACACAGGGTGTTCTAATTTATATATTTGAATATTTCCCCATATCTAAACTGTTTTATATGCTGATCATATTTGAGTATCATCTCACTTCCTGCATTTTTTTTCAACATTTTGTTCCTGGTCAAAAAATGATGAATGCAGACAAGGTGTTTATATAATATTAAGATGTCCCTTGTTTTCCTGGAAGGTTCGTCAGAGTCAACACTTTGGGAGGTGTCATTGTTTAGCAAGATTAGGATTCACCACATGATGACTCTTAATGTTGTTACACACTAGAACAGTAACGCATCATTTTCACCAAGCAGTCCGGTTCAGCTCAGTTTGTTACTCATTAAAATGGTTACTATTGCGTTTCCATTGTCAAAAGTCGAGTATGGTACCAAGAGAACTGTTCCATTTTGTCCCATTTTCTTATTAACCCTTTGTTGGGGTACCTTGCACAATGATTCAATACTAAAAGGTGAAGCTAGAAACACTGCATCCGTTGACTGATCAAGACAAAGCATTGCTCTTGCTTGACAAGGACTCAGCGCACAAACCCACTATTTTTAAATATCCTATCGATTGCAACAGAGCCTTAAAACACTCCAGCAACCCTTGTTCTATGGACGATCAATTGATCAGCTGATGTTCCTCTGCATTTTCAGCAAAGAAAAATTACATCAGAAGTTGAAGAGAGCAGTGACACGGCTATTACCATCTGGTGACAACCCTCTGTACATGTCTGTACTGGTTACATACAGGTTGTAAAGGCGCTATACCAAAAGTTTTTGGTGGAAACGCCAGTGATACTTTGGTTTAGCAATCATGACTGAAAGAACCAGACAAACAAACTGGTGATGTTGGACCAGTGTTAATACTGTTTTGTTTTTTTTCCATGACAAAAATAAGACAATGACGAGCTAAAAATAGATCCTGATTATAAAAACTATGATGAAATCCATGCATCATTTTTGGTGATGGACCGAGACGTGACGAAAATGTTCGTGGAGGACTATCACACATTGAAAGGCGAGAACGGCTGTGCTTGTAATTAGCTTCAAATGCCACATGAGCATCAGGCTGGTAAACTCCAGTTATTAGTCGGCGCCAGTCAGCGGAGCAAGCAGCCACTGGCTGCCAATCTTCACAGCTGATCCCTGCAGGACTCCACTCAGTCCAGACTGTGCAGGGAAGGTTTATGGGTTGATGCTGTTTGACAGGCAGGTAGGAGGCTCCGTTATCTGTGAGTGTAGCTGTGTTGTCAGTAAACAGTCTGAACTCAGATCAGTTTTCTCTGACAGAGATAAAAGTTTAGTTTTAATCACCAACTCTGTGAGACATGAGTTTAAATTTCCAGACTGTCATGTTGCAGGTCAAGAAAGAATTCAGGCTTTAACTAAATAATTTTTCTGTTTCTTAACAGAGATTGAAAAGTCAGAGTTTACAATGAACCTGGGTACAAACCCTAGATGTCTCAGATTAGTGAGAGCATAAATAGAGAGATGTTGAGCTTTTTATATGATCAGCAAGTGTGTTTTTTGTTGACTAAAACTAGACTTAAACTATGAGGGATAAAAATGGCTAAAATGTGGCTAAAACTAATAAGCATTTTCATCCCAAAACTAAGACTAAAACTGAATCTAAAATGGCTGTCAAAATTAACATTGTTGGACTCTTGGAATATTAGCCAGTGAGATAAAAGAGATCCAAGTAAAAATCAAAATAAGTAAGACAGAGCAATTGATCAACTTGTTGTTTTGGTGCCTTGAATTAGTGATGAAGCAGACTAATATAGACCACTGAGGAGACAGTCATCAAGCATGTCTGCCACTCTGCCATCCTTAGCCTTGTTGTGTGTTGTTTAGCTGCCCAGTGGGACCTGGCTGATAACTGGAATTGTCACTTTGTATACTTTTCATCTTTCAGAATTTTAAGACTGAATCTACTGCCAATATCTCAGCAGTGAGCGGACATTTTCAGTTGCTTAAGACTTTGAAGCCTGCTGCTGCTGTAAAGGGCTCACTGTGGATTAGGGTGTTATTCTGGTTGGATGTGCGTGATGACGGCTGACACCCACAATTGAAAATCAGAACCCGATGACACAAACCTGGCTAGCACACGATGTCATTTACACCGCGGGCAGACAAGCCACAAGGCCCTTGCTGTGCTCCCGTCTGAACTCTGTAACCGTAACTTAATATCACGACATCAAATCCGCCATTCGCCGTGACATATTGCAAGCATCACCGCTTAAAGTGAGCCAAAAATTCAGGCAAATTCTTGAGATGCCAATTCTAAAAGCCTTTGGATATACTAGCGCTCATGACAAGCCAACTAAAGATTGCTTTCCTCTCTTACAGTTTGATCTCCACATGTGCAGCAGTCCAGATCATTTTGCTTCTCAGTTACTTTCGCCAGAGGAGAAATAAGCAATGTGACATAAACAAAAGGTCTTCTTCATCCAAAAATCAAAGTGGCTGTTTGTTTGCCTGCTGTGGAAGCAACATGGCCAGGAAGGGTTTCACTAGCAACTATAAGTACCCTCTAATTAACCTTATTTAATTGTCTGTAGAAGACACACAGGGAAACACGGAAGGTCAGATCAATGGAGGAGAGACGCAGTCAAGAGTAAAGTTCTCTGCAGCAAAAGAGCGAGAAGGATGGTTCTCTCGGCTCGTCCCTGCAGGCTCGAGCAACGCTGAGCTGAAACAAGCGAGGGATGACTCTTCTCATGAAGGGGAGGGAATTAACTAGGATTGCCTTGGCTCAGTGCGCTCGCAGCTTCTGCCAGCCGAGGCTACAGAGGTATAATAAGGTACATGGCTATAATGAGGCCGGAGCACATCTTGGTTTGAACTGAATCTCTACCTTCAAATGTGTTTCTTGGGCTTCTTAGCACTCCCGTTGTACTTGTGCGCGCACTGTTTTTGGCGATGATTGTAATTGTTGTAATGGTGTTGTTGAGAGAATCGAGTGTTCTTTTAAAAGATATCCACTCTGCTGCGACGGGAAACAAATCCCCCTTCCTTCACTCTGTGTTTCTGTGTCTTTCCCATATTTCAATATGCAGATAGATGTTTGCAAAATCTGGCTTATCTCCATATGACCCCCGGGACGAAGCTTTCCCCGAAAAACAAGAGCACTGTTCAATTCTCAGCTCCACTGAGTGATTCTATGGAAACAGTCTGACTATTGTTGGCTCATAATAAGATGATAATTTTTATCCTTTCTTCAACTCTCTGCTCTGCCTTTGATGCGCACCAATATCTCAACATCTGAAAGTTGACAGAGTCTGCTCGCGTTGTCATGGTCCCACTTTAGGAGGATGATAAAACTGATCTTTTTCTGTGACAAAGGGATCAACAAAGAAGCATTAGAAGGGGCGGTGTGTATCTAGACACCTTTAAAAAAACAAAAAAACAATGAGAAAATGAAGCTGGTGTTCATTACTGTCTGTCTATACTTTGTTTCAAGAGAGCCGAATAAAACCCTGTGAGGATGGGCTCTGTTTCATATTCTGCCTCATCAAGGCTTTCTACTGAACTACATTCTGAAATAAGTGAGATTAAAATTAAACCCTAGATCAATATCTTCTATTTATATGTAGAAGAAGAGCTAATGTTCCTCCTGACCTTGCAGGATCCATGGCAAAGCTTTAAGACAAAGGCTTTATTTACTCAAACTGCAACATTTAAAGAAGCCACGATATGTTTGCCTTCACTACCGTCTCTGTCTTTCTGCATGTGATAGAAAATGTAGCAGTGTCTGAATTTCCCTGCTATCAAATGCATTTGCACAGACGGCAGAGAGATGCAATCCCAAGTCATCACAAGATATGCTAGCGCCAAGCTGGTGCTTGAGAGGAGCACGAAGAGGGCACGACACTTACGTTCAAGGCATTCTTAGCAGCCTCCGCCTCTGATCGACTGTCAAAGCTGACAAACCCCACCGGCTGGGGAGACAAGAAGACAGAACAAAAGAAAGAAACATGGTTTAAGGCAGAAAACTGAGTCGGCATTTCTGTCTGAGTGACATAGACATGTTTTTTTATTATTTCATTTTTTTATATCACGCCCAGCCCCCCTCTTTCGCTGCCTCTCTCCCCCTCTCTTGCCCTGTTTATAAAACCGTGGCGACAGAGAGAGTGAGGGGGGAGAGAGAAATAGAGGCTGGACGCTTACATTGTACAAGGAGAGTTCATCATTCAGCTCCCCTATGCCCAAATACGGGCAATGTGAGAAGCGAGAAAGTGCGTGTAAGAGTGAGTGTGAGAGAGGCAGAGAAGGGGGTGAGAGCTGAAAAAGGAGAAGATATAGAGATAGGAAAAAACGAAGATAAATAAGGAGGGTTTTGAGAATGAGAATATAGAGGTTAAAGGTGAGAATAAAAATGAAAGAAACTGCAAGGCAGAAATAGTTTTTCAAGACCTCCTCGAATGGGCCTGTCAGTTGAAATCCACGCAATATATCTATTTCACTGGTGCTTGTTTTGTATTCTGGTGACATCACTCCAGAGCCTGTGCCCGCAATAGTAAAGGTGAGTGAGCAAGAGGGAAGAGACAGAAAAAAAAAAACTTAGCGATGCAGGTTTGGTTGTCACATTTCTAACCACTGTTGCAGATATGAACAAAGAACGCACTTTTTTTTTTTGCCGTGTATTTGTGTGCGGGTGGGGATGCTGGGGAGGAGGTGGGGGTGAGGAGAAATCTCTAAACATGTTGCTCCCATGGGGTTGCACTGCTGCGTGTGATCTGGAAAAGCAGTCTTGGGTTATGGGAATTTTGAACAAGCAGAGAAAGAGGGGGAGGAGGAGGAGGGAAAAAAGAAAAGGAGAAAGATGAAAAAAACGAAAGAAGGACTAAGTGAAGACGTCAGGAGGAGGAAGCGTAACAGGAATATAAATAGAAAGGGTCTGAGATCTGGCTCTTGCTATATATGGAGATGGCTGTGTGTTCTCGGACTGGAAGGGAGAGGGAGATCGATTGATTTACGCTGCTGCTGTCATTGCCATTAGACAGGAGGAGAGTCACTCAAAACAAAGAGACGCCAAAGGAATATAGTACATCGCTATGCAATACCTGCGCGTGAGCATCAGCTGACATCTGTCAGGAGGAAGATGGCCATTATAAAAGTATGATGAAAGGGTGGAAGGGTGCAAAGAGAGGCCAAAGTGCGCAGAGTTGCTGAGTGTCTCACTTATTCATTTAACAGGCAAAACAAAAAGAGCAAAACTTGAAATTTGGAGTTCTGCAGGTTAAGTGGAAGCCTGTGTAGCCTTTGGATTGAATTGTAAAGCTTCAATCACAATTACAGCTGCAACAATCCGTTGCTTAATCGATTACTTAATGATTATTTAAAGACTAACTCTTGTTAGTTATATTTGCATTTTTGGCACTGTGTCTGCAATTTTTGAAGCCTCCTATTGAATGCCTGCTGCTTGCGGTCAGCCTACGAACGTCCCGACCACAGCTGAATGAGAAGCAAATAAGAAAATAGAGGCACAGGCAGATAAATACACTGCCACCCACTTCTTGTGGGTCATAAGTGATGACTGAGAGGGATTACCTCTGAGTCTGAACATTGTTCTTAGGAAAACCCTGCATAGTATACCTGTAACACCAGACTGAAAGGCAGTATTATACTGCCCTTTCTGGGACAAGAATTCAAGCCCATCCATCAGTGATGTTGGGTGTGGTCAAAAGTGTGCTCTGTTGCACTCTGTTGCACATTCAACAGTAGGTCCACAACTACAAGTTAATTTCATTCTTGATTCTTCTGTCCCATTATTTTTTTGATTAATCAATTCAACAATAAAATGGACGAAAATGGAACATGCTCTATGTAATTTCCCAGAGCCCAAGGTGATGTATTTCAATGGTGTTTTAGTCCAAAAGTCTAAATCTCGTCAGCTTATTGTCATGTATGACAAAGTCTCACATTTTAAAGGTATGATAGCAGCACATGTTTGACTTTCTTGCTTAAAAAGTTACTACGATTATTCGATCATCTAAGTTAAAGTATAGCAAAAATAAATGTGTTATGGGTTTGTCACACAATGGAAAAATGTGTCGCTAACCATAGCCAAATTAATGATTTAAAAAATGGCCAAGTATATAAAATTAGATTTTAAAAACCGTGAAGAGAGGAGCAGAATTCTCTGTCTGCCGAGGAAGCTGAAACAAATAATGAGCTGCTGAGAAGTGACAGACATAGCAGCTTTGTTAGCCTAGTTAGCCTCGTTAGCAGCTATCCAAGTAGCACAAAGCAAGCACTCTCCCGGAGCCACAGGACAAGCTGCTGTGCAACGACAGGCCTCTCGTAAAGCAGCTTACAGCAGCTAACCTTAGCACAACCACAGGAGTGGGTAGCCAATTCGGGCTATAAGACTGAAGGGTACGTTAGTGTTGGCTATTTTGCCTGTATTTACATAACTGTGGCATTTACTTGTGTATTTATTAGAATGAAAGAGCTAAGAGAGCTTGTTGAATGTGGTAAACTCGCCGCTCACACACAGGAGATGAACAAAACGACAAGGATGCTATACACTTTAACGTTAGATTTTATATGTTAGCGAAGGGGTTATGATAAGGAGGGTCCAGTGCGTTATTGAGCCATGCTTTCAGGCCCGCCAAAAGAATCCTGGACAATCAAGTACTGAATTATTCAATGTCACATGTTTTCAAAAAGTATTTTTAACATGTATTATGCGTTGAGAAAGAAATCTCTGATTTTACTTTATCTGGATTCGACTAATCGATTAACTGACTAATCATTGCAGCTCTATATAACAGTCACAGAAGCCAGCAAAAACAAAATTTTCAAGGGGGGTGAGGTTACTCTTTAAGTCATTTTTAAAGCAAAAATACTTAATTAAACACAATATAATGAGGTACAAGATAAAAAACAAACATACAATACATTGATAGTAACACCAAAACTCTTTCAAATAATAAAGTTAAACTAAATAGAAGTTGCTAATTGCCTTTTGAAAGTTTTTGACAGCATGCAACTTCAGGAAACAAAAAAAAAAAAAAAAAAAAAGGGAAAATCCCGAACAATGCAATGGGATTTTACTTGCTCTAAAGAAATTTCACGAGAAAAAAGAAATGCTTTCCTTTGTTCTCAGTTTTAGAGGTATTATACTCAGCACATTGGATCTAAATCGCCCTAAACCCTTCTAATGAGCACGTCATGTCTTTATGGGAAACAGTGTAATGTGGTAATAAGTACACTGACATGAAGCTAAATTGCTTAACTCTGGATGTGGACACCTGCCAGCTGAGCTCATTTTCAGTCCTACGCCCCCGGAGGCAAAACTCAACCGTCAGTACTGCTCTTGTCAAAACTCTCGCTTTGACACCTCAAAATTCTTTTCCCGTCTCCCTTCCCATCCCCGCACATCCCACCGGAGTTGACTGTCTGTGACTACAAGCGTACTATCCGACTGCCAAAGGCAAGTTGGTGCAACACTTTTTCCCTTCCCTCCCCCCCAATAAAGTTTTTTTTCCGATTCCAGGTACTTCCTTACAAAGGGTGCTAATCCGTCATAGTCAACAAGCCCAGAACACAGAGGGGAAAAAATAGGACAAAGGAAAGAAAGAAATTTGAAGGTGTTGATGAATAAGAAATTGGGTAATGTATACAGTAACAGCATGATGAGAGACAGACTGATATTTTCATTCATTAGCTTCTCTGTACAGAAACACAGTCCCAGTGTGTGTACTTTAGCATACCTGTTTAGAAGTGAGTTTTATCAAGGAGCCTTCATAGCCCTGAAACAAAGAAAGAACATGACAGAAATGTGAGCATGTGTCCATTATCAAACACAAAAGCTTTAATTTGATGCAAATACCAGAGGTGGAACCAAGTCAGAAATCTTTGTGCTCAAGTCCCAAGTCAAGACAGGCAAGTCCCAAGTCCTAAACTTTGAGTTTTGAGTGCTAAACAAGTCGCCCTTCACCAAATGTAATGCCATTTTAACAAGAGAGAAATACTACATTAAATTTACAAGAAACATGAATGCTTTTCAAATTTGTATAATTTTTTTTTAACAAGTCTGGTGAAAAGTTACTTAGCTGTCAAGCTACCGTTAGCTTAGTTTGTTAATATCAGCCTCGACCTACTGTTCTCTCAACAACTTCAAATAACGTTACTGAATGAAGTTGGAAGTTGTTGCGTCTTCTTCCGTGATTTTTAATCCACACATTTTGCATACGGCAATTTGTTTTTTTGTGACTAAGCACAGTTTTTGTATGTGAACAAAATTATCTTTGGCATCATTTTTTAACAACTGGCGCTCAATAAGCTAACGTTAGTTCTCCAGGGTTCTCTCCTGCACTTTGACTGGATGCTGTCAGTCAGACCTTTTTCACACCAGACATTTTGACATGTCATCGTTGGGAAAGCACAGGTGTATTTATCTTACTATTTAATGACGAAAACTCTGTCTGTGGGTGTGTCTGTTCCACGTTTTTCTCCTCACTGACTTGGTCAATCCATGTGAAATTTGGCACAGTGGTAGAGGGTCATGGGAGGATGCGAATGAAGCAATATTACATCAATTGGCCAAAGGGGGGCGCTATAGCAACCGATTGAAAATGCAAACTTTGAATGGGCATATCTCATGCCCCCTATGTCGTAGAGACATGAAACTGTGCACAGAGATGCCTCTTCTCATGAGGAACAAATTTGCCTCAAGAACCCATAACTTCCAGTGATATAGATTTTCCGACATTTTGAATTTTTTTGAAAAACACTTCAAATCGATCTCTTCCTAGGAAGTTTGACCGATCTGCATGAAACTCTGTGAACATAATCTAGGGACCAATATCTAAAGTTCCCTCTTGGCAAAAGTTGGAAAACTTACTAAAACTGAGCTTCTATAAGTCAATGAATATTGCGGAGGGCGCGGCTCATCACATAAAGGTGTATAACATCTCAAGGGTTTCACCGATCACCACGCAACTTTGTAGGCATATGACCACACAGTCTGAGGGGACCCCTCCATTATTGACCCCATCAAACAAAATAGGGGCGCTAGAGAGCTAATTTCTTATCTGGGAGTGACCACCACACTGGGTGGCGCTATAACAACAGAAAAAAGCTTAAAAATGGCTAAAATTTTCAAATCTAGACTGAAGACATATTTATTTAGGATGGCTTTTAATACCCAGTAGTGTGGTGACTCTTTTACTTTTCCTCTGTTTTACTTTATTTTATTGTATTTTATTGCTCCTATTGCTTTTATTATTTTCATTGCTTTTATTGTTTTTATTGTTGTTATTGCCTCTATTTATTTTTAATTGTTTTTTGCACCTATTGTAAAGCACTTTGGTTCACCGAAAGGGTTGTTGTAAAGGGCTGTATAAATAAAGAACATAACATAACATAACATAAAATACGACCGATCGCTGTGGCTCCCCCTGTGGCAAAACATTGTTTTTTTTTTTCTAATTTTCGGCATGACTAATTCGTGGTATGGTATGCTGTACATAATCACAGAAACTGTCAGTGTGTCATTCTGTCAGTCAGTCATTCTGTCTGTCCCACGTTTTTCTACTCACTGACGTGGTCAATCTATGTGAAACTGCACATAGGCATTGAGGATTGGCATAGGTAGAAGGTGACAAAGCTACCAATGGGTATGGACTAGTCAACATTAATGATGGCTGCATTCCATTTAGGGGAGGTCCTGGTATTGGCTCACTGGAATAGCTTACTGGCACACTTAACGGAACTGAGCTGTCGTTAATGTTTTCAGTTTCAACTTTGCATTTCCTACGATGACAAGTCAAAATGTCTGGTGGGAAAAAGGCCCATTGGTTCAAACTAAGAGGATGTGGGGAAATGAGTGTCGACTTGCTGTGACTGAATAGTGTTAATGTTAGTTGATTCAGGAAATGAATTAGTTCAAGGCACATTTTTCAAATAACACGCTTAATCTTTGGTTGGGGGAAAGTATCAAGTAGTATCAAGTCAAAAAGCATTAGTTCAATGAAGTCACGAGTCTTTGGTGTTGTAAGTTAAGTTGAGTCATGAAATTTGTGACTCTTGTCCAAGTCATGTGACTTCAGTCCAAGCTTCTGGCGAATATGCATCATTTTGTGCAAAAATATTTCATAATAACATCTACACTACATCACATATACATGTGAAGTCTAGAACAGTGGTTCCCAACTGGTGGGTCACGGTCCAGTGGGATTCTGAATGGACTGCAAGCGACATGTGAAATGTGTCAAGTTTGTAAAAAAAACACCTTAGTCTGAAGTGAAGTACAGTACATTTCCAGCACAGAGCTTTCTTTTTTTTTTTTTTCTTCCTGCTGTAGAGTGAGTGACAGCTACTTAACAGAGACAGCCAGAAGACATGGCCAAATACAAGTATGACCCAGGATGTATTAAACTGTGTGGACCCTGAACTAATGACTAAGGAGAAGTCTGGACCCCATGGCTGGACCAGTTGGGAACCACTGGTCTGAAAGTTATTTGAGTTAATTTGCCTTGCTTGACACTGCACGTACTTCGATGCAAATATTCGCAATGTCGATGCTGAAACAATATATCGTGCAGCCCTGAGTTGACTCACATTAGAGCCATGTTGTGTTGATGGAAAACTTTCAGGAAATAAATTCACCGTTTTGTTACATTATATGGAAGGTTATCCTCAGAAGATTACTGTAAAAATTAATTTCATTGATTAGGCTTGGAAAATGAGACTGTGAAATTCCATGACCTTTTCAGGTTTTCAATGACTGTGGGAACCCTGACTGACTAAGCTAGGATGTTTCACAAGTCCAAGAGCTCTTATGAAGACCATATGGACCATTTGTTGTGTCTTACCTGATTAATCTAGATTTAGTGCTTTCAACATTCATGATATAACACATTTATTCAGAGTACATACCATGAGCATGATCTAAGAGGGAGATTAGATGCATAGCAATTGTGCCATTATTCACTTCAAATGTGCTGAGCCCTTAAAGTGCATTATTCTAGGGCAACGGTCCAAAAAGCCTGCAACATCTACATGCAGTCACCTGAGCTAAACTCTACTCTTTGTGCCTGTGACAAAGTGAAGTTTCTGAGGTGAAGCAAATAGCTTTGTTTTTGTATTGCAGGCAGCGAGCCATTTTTCCATGAGACACACACACACACACACACAAGCTTCCCGTGGATCAAGATGTGATTGAACCTCGGCTTTAGGAACACAGACACTTGAACCTCGCGGGAGTTTTTCCATTGCCGTTTATTTCATCACCATTAATGGAGGTCCCATTGACTGCTGGAAAGAAAAAGCTGCTAAGAATAGCTGCAGCCCATCCATTTAAAACATACAAACATACCTTAAATGGTCTGAACAGGAGATAGAGCTCCCGCGGCTTAATATCCAGTGGTAGCCCACTGACAAATAGCGTTCGGACCTGAGGAAGACAAGAAAGAGATCATGTATTTTTCATTAACCTCACCAGTTATAAATAGATACCTTGCATACCTGACAGTAACAGATGAGGTAATGAGGAAAAGGACACTGAACATGAGTTAAATAGTTCTCTTACTTAAAGATAGACTTTTCAAATACTGATAGGGATGTCTTTCAGCTCGGCAAACACACTCACACACTCTATCACACACCTTTCTACAGTAAGTGCATTGTATTCTCCTGTGTAATCTACGGCCTGCTGTGTTTTATGGCAATCCTCCCTCGCAGCTCTAGCCTCTGTTTTACATTTGAACTTTTCAACTTGCAACTCAAGCTGGCATTGCTGGGGAATAACAATGTATATGTTAGCAAAAAGAGACTAAAGGAAAATTTAATTGTTGCGGTCCGCACTGAGTCAGAGAAGGTGGAAAACCACACAGGGAGCAACATGAGAGTGACTCAAAGTGGGCTTTCAGGCAAAAGAAGTTGTTATTATTATGTGTGTTGATAGAGAGGAAAATGAATTCAGCGTGATCACTGTAGGTGAAGGTAAAGTTTATGTTTGTCAAAGGGAAACTTAAGGCGGTGCCACCCACATTTTCAGTGAGCGAATCTCTATTTACTTCTATTTTAAAAACAACTATCTAAAGCCAACATTTTTAAATTTGTTATGTTGCCTAAAACCTTAATGTCAACCCTGAGAGATGAGAAAACGAGGAGGTAGATGGTGCATAAAAGATACAAGACAGCTGATGGTGGGTGGGTGGGGGTGAACTCATCTGTCGGACTCTATGTGCTGAGAAAAGGGATAAACTTGAAACATTGCTTTGGAAACTACGAGGAGAATGTTGTACAGAAAACACTACAAATTTACTGTGTACTGAAATGTAAAGAGTCCAGCTGAGCAACATATTTCTTCACTCAAATGTCAAACACAAGTGTTTAATGAGGACAGCAGAGGTGTTTATACCGAACATTTTTTTAAAGAGCTAGAAAATTACAGGGAGCTAACGCTGTGTGTGTGTGTGTGTGTGTGTGTACTCTGATTTTATGCTAACCTACACTGATTACTCCAGCTTCATACTTAACAGATATGAGTGGTAACCATCTTCTTAAAGCCCAGAAATCACTGTTCCTACTCCTTTAAAGACTAACCTGCATTTTTCAACCTGGACCCTGTTTTCCCGTGCTACTGTGCCTAACGACTGGAGGCAACAATTTTGAAACTGGTCCAGCACTGAGAGAGAGAGCGCTGTAGCCGGCAGCAGCAAAACAGGCTGCAATGTAACAACTTGGGGCATGTTCACACCATCAATTTATGCCCATTTAAAGTGTTTTTGCCACTGACAGGCTCAGATTATTATCCTAAGTGTCTGACAACATTATGATAAGGATCCCTACAGAGATAGACCTTTTTGTTAAGGAGTAAGACCATTTTTTTAACCAGAAACAGACCCAAAATTGCTATTGGCAAAACCACCAGACTCCATTCAAATAAACAGTAATTTTGGCGTTTACAGAGCCAGCATATTTTCACATATAACTGGGGGAATTAAGAGTTTATTTAAACCAAACCAGAGTTGGTAATTGTTTGAACAGTGGAAAGATGAACAATAAGAGTGTTTCTGTGAATTTTATTTTGTTTCTGCACTATAAAAACAACCGTTTTGTTTTAAGTTAAAAAAGTTAGTGTCCTGGCTGCCTCAAAAATTGGCTGAATTTGAGAAGATAAGTTGAGGTAGTTTTATAATAATTCAACGTGTCTTCTCAAATTCAGTCAATCTAAAAATATAAGCCAGCCCAGACACTAACTTTTAAAAGTTAAAACAAATAGTCTCCTTTTACAGTGTGTCGACTTTGAATGAAGTGTGTTTCATGATGGTAAATTTACTGTTTATTTAAAAGGAGTCTGGTGTGTTTGTCAGTAGTGATTTTGGAGCTGTTTCTGATTTTAAAAAAAGAATCTTGCTCTTTAACAAAAAGGTCCATCTCTGTAGGGATCATTTCCATAATGTTGTCAGACACTTTGAATAACAATCTGAGTCCGTCAGTGGCAAAAAAACAAGCACTTTTAGTGAATGTAAATTGACATTAACATTGCATTGCAGCCTGTTTTGTGGCTGAACCAGTTTAAAAAATGTTTGTTCCCATTCGTCACTCAGACACAAAAACATGGGGAAATAGCGTCCAGGTTGAAAGATACCAAAGTTACCATTTAAGAAGTAATATATTAAACTGCAAATGCAAGAAAGTTCCTTTGAATGGGCACACAGACACTGTTTCACTCAATCCTCAAATAACACAATCAGGAACCCGGCTGCCATGTCTAAAAAGGCTTGTGTGAACAGCAGTAGTTCTTTCAACATACATGCAGATACATAAGCACCAACATTTAGTAAACACAGACATTGCAGCACTACCAGACGCAGGTGCTGAGACATCCTGTCACAGCTCATGAATGCATACCTGGTTATGTTTTGGAGGCAAATAAATAGGAAAACTCTACTTGTTACATAAAATTGTAGATGTGTCTGTCCTTAATAATGGGTCAGTACGGGAAAGAGTTGTTAACAGAGGTATTTCTGACTATAAACTACAACATTTGTCTTCTATTAACGCAACAGCTTTTGCACCAAATCTCTCTTAAGCTTTATAAAACAATGGAAACATTTAAAATCCTCTCCTTTTTCTAATAGAGTGGTACTAAGATAACTGGGGCAGACACTGAATTATTATTATAATACTAGAATTATTATTATTGGATCATTTTATTAAATAAACAGGCACTAATCGCACCTCATACCTGGAATTATCACCTAATTGAAGTTGGCTTGCTACAAGAAAATAATTGCTTTAGTGCACACGAGACATCAAAATCAAACAATAGACTGTGTGCATCAAACCGACTTTCAGCAGCTCCACCCTACACGCCCACATCAATAATGTGATAGTGGATTTGGAAGTGTAGGCCTAATTTAATTATTCATTCAATATTCAGATTCTATTTAAGGCCGAGTTTAGAATAAAACCGTAGGTATGCCATTACACAGAGTAGATTCAAAGCTCCAACATTCATTAGATAGTAGATTCACAGCTCGGGGGACAAAGAAACTGCTGAACTAACACTACACCTCATTCCCACATGTAACCTGATACGCACCGCTGATGCCAAAGGCAGAGCAACACACAAACAAAGGGGCTTAGCAACTGGGGGAGCAAGAGTCGGTGAGTGCCAAGCCGGCCATCCTGCCAAAAGATCTCACCTCTGCGACTTTCTCACCTTCGCTCTTATCTTATCTTATCTGAGTCAAGCCGATCCCTGCAGGGCCGTCACTGGGCTCTGTCTCTGGCAGTTCTGTTTATATAAACTCTTCTGGAGGGTCTCCTTTTATGGAGTTACATAGGAACAAAGAGTCAGAACAGGATGGTATCAATCAGACACAAGTAAGGGCAGTCACTGGCAGCAGTAAAGGCTGACAAAACTAAGTGTGGTGGTAAAAGGCGCAGCAGAAACAGAAGTTGTGCTGAAACTAAAAATCCATAAAGGTGTTTTCGGGGTGGACAACCAAGTCACAATGACTAGCATCACTACAAACCAGATATGTTGGCTCTGACTTTCAGAATAAGATTAATGATACGGGCTATTTTCACATGATAACCATGACTGCAACATTTCCTCAAATTGTACCTTCAACAGAACGTTGGCACACATATTAAAAAAATCTCGTCATCTGACTCTCATTCGCAAAGTTATCAAGGATCCCATCTTTGATTTAACTCCTGTCGGTCATGAGGCCAACAGACACTTGAGAGCTGGATATGTTGCACGAGTCAAGACAAACACACACAACAATGACTCCTCTGCACGCTCAGAACAATGGGACATTCTTGGCTGTGTCAAACCTCATTCCTGAGACTTCCTGACGTCAGCTGTTGTGATATATGATCTTTTCGCCGTGTGTCCGGTGTGGAGCTGACTGCACACGCTGGATACGGGATGATTCACAGACAAATGTGTCAAAATTTCTCCCTTCTGCAGACATCTGTTGTTGATTACAGTATCAGTGTTTATTTATGTTGCTTTGAGACAAGCTCGAAAAGGCAGGGAGTTGTTAACACGCTGCCACCAGGTAAAGTGGAACATCTAAGTTTCATGATGTAGTAAACTAAAGTGAAGGTCATAGCAGGGGTTGAGCAGATTCTGCAGATTTGTAAAAAGCACAGATAAACCCTCTGCCACTGTTTTATTGGGTTTAAGAAGCATTGTTTTATTGGTTCCTCGTGAGTCACATACCTGCATTTCCATAGTGCTGAGTGGCCTGGTACTGGCCTTTTGAATCATTGACCATTTATGGCATGCTCACACACCAACACGAAGGCAGGCTCCGATCAAAAAAAGCAGCCCCTACCTACCACAAGCCAGCTGAGTACTTCACAGCCGGCGTACCAGTGCAGTTCCCTGGCAACGCCTTAGCGAAGAACAGCAGAGAGTGGAGCCCCAGGCCAAAAACATCACATCCTATTAAGGCCACTTCTGCAGCAAGTCCCAGGGGATCAATGCACCTCAAATCAGAGATCCCCGACTCCACAAGCACCGGATGAGGACATTACCTTATTGATACTTTCTCACTGCACCTTGAAGGTTCGCTAGAGAAGGAGGGGTGAGGGGTTTATCACAACTTGGATCTTATTTTTAGATTGTTTTTGACGATGTTATGTTTTCTCTTTGGTTTGCTTGTTTATCTTTGTGTCAGCATGATTACGGAAAAAAACTATTGGCCTGATTTTCACGAAACTTGGTGGAAGGGGTGGAATGGGAAGAACCCATCAAATTTTGAAGTGAAACTGAGTCACTATGTGGATACACAAATTATTTTTCACTTTCATTAATACTGCGGGACAGGGCATTTGGCCTTAGCGGGAAAAATGCCATGCATCTTAAAATCCAGTAGATGGTAGTAAAGTTCAGTAGTGACAAAACACAGCCAAATGTAGAAATAT